TTATTTCATAATACTCGCGGTTGAACTACATGGCAATCACCCTATTTGCGTTGACTTCTATCATTATCCTTACCAAATGCATTCGCCTCGACGTAGCTTACGACATTGCTTTTTGGATTACTTTGTCTCGAAAGGCTGCGCTTGTAATATTGAACGATGCCCAAGTTGCTTGCGCCTGATACTCTTAATTTATTAGTTGAAGATGGTTACGAATATTACTAAGCGTGAACTTCGGACCGAGGACAAGAACGCACATGAAGAGGAGCGCTAGTTCTGTATTTATCAGTGGGCGCTATAGCAATCATCATGACCTTACCAACTAGCTCAAGCCGTGAAATGTCTGAGCTTTGTTGCTGTTACATAATTCCTCATGTTTCTCGTTTTAATTTCGCAGCAACTGCTTAGTATTGTTGTCTTGACCCGAAACATATTTCTTTAAAGTACAAATCTTCCTAGTTTCTATAACGCAAGCACGCGAACGTGCACAGACCAAGAGGAGCTGACCGCTCGCTCTTTGTTTGAAATGGTGCTGCTCTCTCTCCACCCTTTTTTGTCCCTTTGGCTTCATGTATGGTCTTCTGTGCGTATGCTCTTGTTTTCGTACTGCAGGTGTACCAGCGTAGGACATTGAATACGTGTCCATATTATCGTGCGGTGAATGAACGAAAAGAGTGGAATTTAAGATTTTTTTTTATCTTCTTTAGGCGCAACCTATTGTGAACCAACAGACAATCCGAGCCAAGAAAAGTATAAGGGGCACGTTATTTGTTCCCATTGTGACATAAATGCGAAGAAAGGCATTCACAAGGTCGCTTGTACATTCATAAAAGACAACTCCAGCGCCATCTTCTTTTTTTCTCCGTCACTGTATAAGGGAGCAGGGAACAGGAGCTGTGGCTTCATATACCACTGCCAGGCGCCGTCTAAACTTTCTTATCTTGATTGATTTATTGATTGATATTGATTGATATGGAGACTTTGACGTCCCATAACTACTATATGATTAAGAGAGACATTGTAGTGGAGGGCTCCTGAAATTTTGATCATCTGGGGATTCTGTAACGTGCACGCAAATCTGAGCACACGGGCATATACACTCTCTTGAGGTCGCGCGCTCTTCGCTTTTGTTCGCCACCCATAAGAACACGCTACAACGGCACCGTGTGGCGTTACGTCACATGACGTCACGCCAAAAATTGGGACGTCATGATGGCGTCACATGGGGATGTTATCACGTAATTATTTTCGCATCGTTCGTCTCCGACGCCGCGGGATTATCAGCGCCAACGGTGATGAGAGATAACGAAGAGGGGAAGGACGGGAGGTTAAGCAGAAGATAGTATCTGGTATGCTACCCTGCACTGGGGCTGGGAAAATTCTCTGTTTGACGAGCCATTTAGGGCTTTCACTTTGATCGTGTGGACGAAAAGACAACTCGCCACCGGTACTCACCTGCAAGCTTCAAATTACGCCTTTGATGTTCTACCAACCGAGCCACTGCGGCAGGAGACTTCCAGACTACTTTATAGGGCATATCGGTGCATGCTCATTTAAACCTGGAAGTGTTAGTCAGTCACGATCATAGGCGCGTGACGACGCGTGTGGACAGATTTTTTTTTTCGCCTGCTAGCGTCACGTGTAGTTGCACGTGGTCTTTTTACGAGCTGAAGGGAAATCTGCCGGAATGAGACCCTCGCTTTGTATGAACGAAATGAGTGGAATTTGGAATTTAAGGGGTCGTTTTTCTTTCTAAGAAGCATACAGACGACCGAGTCAAGAAAATTATGATTGTTTGTATTTAGGTCATTTGATCTCACAACTGTAGTAAATTAAAAGCCCCATGCTGCACTACGCGTTGATCTACTACGCGTTGCCAAAACGGTGTCCGTTGGCAAGATTGAAGTTACATTAAGAGTAATTATCAAACTGTAAAAAACCGTAATTACCTCGGAATAATAAATAAAATAAAAGCATTTCTGTGTTTTATTTAGCTCACTTATGCATCATTCTTTTACCTTTCGTGTTTTTTTTTTTTCGTACGCTTACCGCAACACGAGGGAGCCAGGCAGCGCTGGTTAACCTATACTTGTATTTAATTCTTTTCTCCATCGCTTTTCATTTAATTGAACTGAACGTCGCTCTATTAGATTCTACGGAGACAGACGGGGTCGCGCACATGGCACAGTTCCACGCTTTTCATTCCTCGTTTTTCAGTTATTACGTGGGTGGTCAGCGCATCTGCGCTTCTGACCTGCCACGCCGACCGCAGAGGGCTGTGTTGAGTACGTGTGAACTCATCTGTGTTACAAGTCCGAAGCCGCAGTAATCTGGGGCACAGCTTGCTTCAATTGGACGCTACGAGGCTGTGATTGCGGGTCGTTGGGTCATGTGCTCATGCGTGACTCACGCCGAGCATGATGACACTGCCCTGAACGCTTGGCACGCCTCTGGATGTTGTGTTCGCGCTGTTGATGTCTTGTCTCGTATCGACGCGCGTCCGCTTTTCTTGCTGCAGTGTTGCATATCTGTGTACCCGTCATTTCAGTGTAGGCTATAGTCACGATGGCTTTGCGACTGCCTTGTTCGACATCTGACGACACCCCAGTGCTTTCATAGCTGTAGGATGTTTGTAGCATGGCCTGTTTTGCATTCAAATGTATGCTCTCTAAATATTCAGTAAGAAGGCCTGTTGCTATGCAGTACTGTTTGTTCATATTTGACTTTTGAAATCAACATGTAGGCTTATTGGTGAGGGACGAGGAAAATGGGGGGTTACCAGAAGCGATCATTGTCGATAGACGTTTTGAGATAAAACGGCGAAACGTATCTCAACAGGTGCTTCTTAAAAAAAGAATACATTCACTACTCCATTTTAAGTAATCAGACTAAATTCCACAACTGCGTAAAAAGAGCTGTTTTACCAATGATGCGAAGTATTTGCAGGGGGCTGCATGAATTGTCACGTTACTTTCGTGTGCTACCTGCACAGCTATTGTACACCCTGCTCGCATAGCATGAGACTAATTAGCAAGCCTTCTAATTTACTGAAAGCCTTCTTCTTTACTGGAAGTGCAATGATAATATTTTTTTCAACTCATGCTTTAGGTGACCGCTCCTCAAGATTTCCACCATTGTGGGATTCATGTTCAACTCACGTGGAATCAAGTTTCATCGGGCATAGTTCTCATTAGACTCTCATGGGCTGATAATAATAATAATAATAATAATAATAATAATAATAATAATAATAATAATAATATGTGTAGTGTAACGTCCCAAAACGAAAATTGAATTAGGAGGGACGCCTTACACTCTTATTCAGATGCTTGTTAAATGCAGGCTATATCCAGGACATCAGAGGAAAAATTTTTGGTTTCCTGGCCATATGTGGTACTTTAGGGTGGGACCTGGTTAACGGTGTAGTGGAAGTCTACGGAAGTTTAGACCACCCGGTGTTCTTTAACGTGCACTGACATCGCTCACTATGTATAAACGGGCCTTTAACATTTCACCTCCATCAATATGTGACCCCGGTGACCTTCGAGCCGGCAGCCGAGAATTGTAACCACTGCTTCACCATGACTTGGAGCAAACACGTAGAAATTAGTCAGTGGTGGTGGTTAGAAGAGGAAAAGGCGCCTAATTTCTGAAGCTCGGTAGGGAGCACGGCACAGTGCCTAGTGTAATCAGTAGTGAGTGGACAGGCTACTTTAGTTTTTGAACATATGCCGAAAAAATGTTCCCTTCTTTTCGCGTACACGTGCGGGGCGGTGCAGGAATAATCTAGTTGCCGGACAGCCAGCTCAACGTTAGGCACGAAATTGGCCATTGAATGTCCAATAACGTAACTCCATGTGTTAGTAAATCGAATTTGACCTCTGATAAAGGTAAGTACGTTCATGGGGAAAATCAGTAGTTCACAAGTACTGCTACTTTCGCTCAAGAACATCCTAACCGAGACATTTTTTTTCCAACTCATGCTATTGGTGACTGCTCCTCAAGAATTACACCACTGTGATGATTTGATTGATATGTAGGGTTTAACGTCCCAAAACCACCATATGAAGATGAGAGACGCCGTAGTGGAGGGCTCCGGAAATTTCGACCACCTGGGGTTCTTTAACGTGCTCCCAAATCTGAGCACATGGGCCTACACCATTTCCGCCTCCATCGGAAATGCAGCCGCCGCAGCTGGGATTCGAACCCGCGACCTACGGGTCAGCAGCGGAGTACCTTAGCCACCAGACCACCGCGGCGGGGAATCACACCACTGTGGGATTCGTGTTTATAGATTCGTGTAGCTTCGTATTGATACAAACAAACATCTATATCTCAGCTAGAAATCAGGCCCTCGAGTCATAAGCACCTTCGATTTCTTCAGAAATACCGGCTCAGTATACTGACTGTTTTCAACTCTTTTTTTTTTTCACAGGCTATTATAGTATGGAACAGTCTTTCTACACATAAAACTACTTGTAATAACAAACAGAACTTCATGTAACTACTTGAAAATTACCTATGGTATTCCCAATCATGAACAGTTTGTATAGTACCAACTTTGCCGTTTTGATTTATGTAATGACATCATTTTCATCCTTTAAAGACGTATTCACAAATTACAAGCGTTTCCTTTAGCATAAACTACTTTTATTCTTATTATTTTTTCCTTATTTTTTCTTCCTTTTCTATGGCACAATTTTTGTAGCTCTATATGAGTGCATTTTTATACTCCCATGTTCGTTCGTTAAATGAAGTTTATGTTGAACTTGCTTATATTTGTTACATATATTTATCTCTAAAAATTTACTTTTGTGTATGTTAAACTTTAGCATGCCCTTCCTGCGAAAATTCCCGTTGGTATCGGCAATCTGTCATAAATAAATAAATAAATAAATAAATAAATAAATAAATAAATAAATAAATAAATAAATAAATAAATATAGAGCTACGCGATTTAAGAATATGCGAAAATAAAAAAAAGTGAGAGATGACACATCAGGTTGTACAAATAACATTTGGTTTATTGTCTTATGTACATTACATAAAACACACACAATGGACATCTTATTTTGCATTTTTTTTGTGAAACACGAAACTACACAAACTTATCTTTTTTTTATTTTTGAGCTTCCTCGGATAGATGCTTTGTCTAACACAGTACGCAACAATGTAAACATTGCGTGCGTTGGGCACACAGAATCACTTATGTACACCGTCATGAGCTGCGGCCGTCATTTTCTCATATTTACTAACCCCTATGGTTTTTTTATAGTCAGAACTAAAAGCATATAACTTAAATGTTTACATGTGTGTGTGTGGAGCACAGAGCGTGAGTGTCTGTGTGTGTGCGTGTGTATAATAAATTTTACCAAATAAAAACGCTTGATGAATTGAGATGAAAGGCACGCTTAAAGACGTTATCCTTAATTATTTGTTTCTTCCGGATTTTTTGAAAGGCTAGTTTTATAGCCTAGACCCAGCACCGCAAGCTTCGGTTAACTGTTTTCCAAACGACATAATTCCTGCACGTACATCTAAAGGGCTTTTAGCAAAACAGCAACTCCTGGCCCCGGGTTTTTTTTTTTTTCCTCAAGAACTAATAATAATGCGTGGGAGGATGGAATGGTGGGGCTGAGGGAAGGTTGGGAGCAGGAAAAACGTCGTGCAGTGATAAGGTGTAGCTGTATTTTTGTGAAGCATTTGCACCACTTCATGAGATTTACACAATAATTAAATAAGCGCCGTTCCTGTCGGTTACCGTCAGACCTGCTCCATGCCCAATGGCCGAATAAGTAACACTCACTTACAAAGTTTTTGTTCAGCGTTATTGTTGCCTTAGCGACAATCAAACATCTGCAATCTGCGCCGGTTCACTCCCAAGCTAACGAACGGGATACTCAAACATGCGACTGCAGCGCCCCATGTGTCGAGTTCTGCGTAACGACAGAGTGCTCTTTTCTTAATGGTCTATACCTGCGGACGAAGCTACGACGCGAGTCCGAGACAGCCTGTCCTGCTCATCGCTAAGTAATAACTCGTGACGCAGATTGGCGATAACTTGAGAGGCGACAGGGTTCTCAGTGCCACCTAGCTGCAGCAACAACAACGCAGCCACTCAATATCACCAGACCCCGGCCTACCCACGCAGCTCTTTGATCGAAGTTAGCCGGGTCAGAAGACCGGCGTGAGTCGTGCAATTAGGCCTGACTGACATTTACCGGAAATGAGTTCGCTTCGGAAGCGCGTTTCCCGTTGGCCGGTACATGCGGGTAAGTCCATTATCGCTGACCTAGACTCACGTCATACGATGACCGGATGTCATCGCGTCACCGCAGCCCCGACAGCTGCTACGTTGGTTGTCGTTGTCTGAGCTTGCAACGTTGGTCGTATAAGAAAAAGAATCAGTGCCACGTCTTCTGCAAGCAAGTTGGAAGGTTGTCGTGACGTTCCTGCTTGTAGATGCGGGGTACGTTCGTGTATTCTCATGAGTTCTAGCTTACTGAGATGTTGATAAACGCTCAAAATGGCCGTCAATCGGCTACCCGTGACGAAGCAATGGAGCATGGCAGGCGCCTAAAGAGCCCAGCCAGAGTTTGTGTACTTGACGGAACACGGTGGCACGGCTCTTTAACTTTGCTGGGCAAGAAGTGACCTCTGACCATCTGTAACCTTTCTTGCGACTATGATCCGGATTCTTCCTTGCAAGTGCCCGCGTCACACAGCTCCGATTTCTCAACGACTATGCCGGGACGGCTCTGGGATTTGATCTCCGCTCCAAAACAATATGTCATCCCCGATGATCCGAAGTTACCCAATGCTGGCACATCTGCTTACGACCGATTAAGGTAGAAATCTATCCTAACTATAGAGGATAATGGTGATGGGGTTGGGTAGGGGGGGGGGGGTGCTGAGTGTCATTTTCGGGGAACGTGTTCGTTCAGAAAAATGAGTTGGGATGGGACGGGCTGGTTAGAAAGTTAACGGGTCTGTGAGAAAGGGCTGAGGAAGGAATGTGTATCCATTCGAGGGGGGGGGGGGGGATGGAAGTGTGGCAGTGGAAAGGGCGAGCTTCACACCGTGGGCACAATCGAATTTAGCTATCTGGCGGACTAGGCCTTGGCATTGGTCGGCGGCTCCGTCTCGTAGGTCAGGTCGTTGAGGTAGTAGTAGTTTGGAGAGTCCGCGCAGTTGACGTTGTACTCCCAGTCGCAGACCCGGTACCGCTGGTTGAAGGCCGTGTCGTTGGCGCAGATGTGCGGCACGCGGCGGCCGTAGGCGTCGCACATGTGGAAGATCTTGCAGTCGAACTCCATGTCGGCGTAGAATCCGATCGGCTTGTCACTGCAGTCGAAGTGGAATTCGACGTCCGGAAACTCTTCCCATCGCTTCGACTGCGCCAGGGAGAGAATAATGCGAGAGTATAGGGTAAGTAATTGGTGCGAAAACACCAACTCACAAAATGCGCGCATGCACATAAACATAATAAAGGTACATTCTTGCAAACGGACGCCGTCTAATGATGATGGCAACCGAGATAATGGCACAAGCTCAGAAGTTATGGTCAACAAAAAGAGCTATGATAGAATAAAGGACTTGTGAATCGTGCCACTCGCGCTCATTGTGAAGCCTCTCTTTTATTCGAATGCGCAACGTCGCAAGTGCTACGCTGGTCTTCCACAAAACGTATATAGGTTGTCGATTGTGGGCGCCCCACCACGCAAACTCTCGTAACCCAGAGGTTTCTGGCTCTCTTTCCTATCGCACCTACGTACATTAAACAATTGGCCAGTCTGCAAAGCCACTTGGATGCTTCCCACTGTCTGCGGCAATCCCAAACGCATTCTCGCACTCTTCCGCTCCCATCACGCTTATCGAATCGCCGTTTCTCAGCGGCAACATTCAATTTCGCTCCGCCGCGCATTCCTCGGCCCAGGCGTGACAATGGAGCGCGTCGCAAGGATACCCGACGGCTGCTGCAGCGCGTGTACACAGAAGAGACCGTTTGACCCATCGGTCTCCCGGCGCCATTCTTTAATCCCGGGCCGGCGCCGTTGCGAAGGCGGCTCGCCTGCGCTGTGCCGCGAACAATGGCGAGGGTTATACGCTCGCGCCAGCCTCTGGCGAATCTATTGAACGCCAAGGCTACACAACTGCGATGCAGAGACACTGCGCGCGTGTGTGTTTGTGGCGTTGCGCACTGGCTCCCCCGCTGGGCACGCGCCATTAATCCGCACTTCCGAGATAACCGCGCACACAATGTCAGTATCAAGGCAACTTGGCAGGCGCCGTGCCCCCGCAGGCAACCGTGTGTTTCTCGCCACTTTTTTGCAGTAAGACCATTGGAAAGTGGAGGGAGGGGGGCTACCTGTGTCTCTAAATCATCAAGAGAGAGGAAGTAAGTTCGTGAGTGCCGTGGCAGGTGGTATATTTGCCAAGTACGCGCGCGTCAGCGACCGAACTCTTCCTTCTAAGGTCTATAAGCTGCGGATGTGTTTGCTCGTGCGTGGCGCCCAAGGCCATTGCGCTTCCCATTGCGCCGGTGATAATTTTATGCATGCGACCGCGTAAAGGTCTCTCGCTGCTTTACGGCTTTTCGGAAGCGAAGTACTAACAGCGTTACGGCGTCTGCACGTATTGGATATTGCGTCTCAGATTCGATTTTCTTCCCTTAGCGCTTGAAACCGTCCAATATATTTCTTTTCGCTCTTGTTTTATTTGATAGTTTCTCCGTAGGTGTCTCCTCTTAACTTGGACGTATATGTTTGCGAGCGCGAAATGCGGACTAATTGAAACAGATCCCCGACTGCTTCGATAATGAAAATACCAATGTTTGATGTCCGAGAAGTTAACGTGATAACCTTTACAATTGAAGTCAGACGACAAGCCAAATTCAGTGCCTGCAGTATTCGGAAGATGACCAGAGAGGAAGAAAGCTCGAGTGTCGTTAGGGTTAGTATTATTTTTAAATGTCCTACACAATTGCATCTTTAGGACGTCGCACTTTCTCGCTTACCGTTGTACCTGCACTGGCAAACAACGCACAAAATCTCAACGCCCTGAACAAACAGAATGCGCATACTCACCCTGTGAAGCGACTTCCCGCACACCAGGTAGAGAGCTGAAAGAACAATGCAATGAATTTCCTTTTAGTTACAGCCACAGGTTACACGACGGATCCTCCACCTAAGACACTAAAGAATGTAGCGGAAGTTCGACATAAAGGCAACACAATATACAGCACAGCTGAATGTTTTGTGCGGAAGAGAAACGCCCAGAACTTCCACTAGAATACAAAGCAAACACAGGGCGAGAAGTGTTGGCTGCGTCGTAATATATAGTGTCATGTACTAGAATATACTACAGTAACCATAGCAGCAACAGCACGACATGCGCAGCAAGCCTTGCAGCAAACACAGACTAGGCAGCTTGTGCCTCGCGCAGGGACGGGGCTGCAGCGTTGGCCATGTCTTTTCACTACAACCCATTCAACGGGATGCTGTTCACAATCGGATAACTAACATGCGACTAGAACTTCTTTCAGTTTACCGTGCTGAACTCATAAATAATCACTTGTAGTCATTGTACCTTGTCTGTTCTGCATGGCACGTGCCATGAACCGGCACGCGGCAAGTCCGACTTAAGTAAAGCACTTCGGGAGCTTTTGGAGCTTTTATTGGTCGGTCGCACTTTGCACTTGAACCATAATCAGCCACATACGATCACACTTCGTGCTCACTATATCCTCTTGAGAAAACATGGCATGAAGTCCGAACTACCGCTTCGTAGTGCGGTGTGTTTTTCTGAAAGAAGAGACACCAAGGAAAAGGCACTCAAACTCATGTCAAGCTAGTAAAAATAAAAGACCTCTATGGGGAAGAAAGCTCACTTCTATGTAACCCTGCACGTCTGCTTTTCTCTCGTAGACTGCGATATAAAACTTCAAGAACGTCCCGATTTGCATATCTGTCCATCTTTCTGCATGCAAGCGAGCCGTTTCTTATCTCTATGTAAATTAGGCATGAATGTCAGGCCATCGGCTGCCTTCAGCGAGGACATGTGGGCAGCGCCTTTGCGCAGCCCCGAACTCAGTGATCAAATCCTGGCAGTTCAGAGTACCCGTGAACGGGCCCCCAAGCTCGGCTTGGTGGTCCCTACGTGTGGCTAGCCGGGTGACGCAGTCTTGTCTGGACCAAAATAAAGTTTTTATCATCGTTATTATCATAACAAAGCCGTCTGTAGTCCCTTTATGGTAACTGAGGCATTGAACACGGGACATTGTAAGCCGCGAAGAGAAGAACAGCAGTCTAAAAGGAAGCAAAAAACAAAACAAGTTCGGACAATCCTGGCAGGCGACGCATTAGCCAGAACGCCTACATCGGTCGTCCTTCATGAGTACATTCCAGAACGCTTGTCACAGTTGCCTACGGGCAGAGCAGCAAGGGACTCGTTGAGCGAAGATGTTATCATGCTTGCTTACCCGTTGACCGCATAATACATTTTTGCTCGGCCTTTAGTTACGGTGGAGTCACTCGTGTTCAAGAACGTGCCTTGCATCAGTGGCCGTGCCATGTTCCGATATGGCGCGATGTATTATTCGAGCAGCATGTGAGGAATTTTAACTAGCCGCCACAAAGCTACTTGTGGACTAAGAAAGTGGTAAATTTCGCATCTGTATTTCTTTTTTCCACAGTTATAGGGGGAGGGGGTATGTATTTTAGTATTGTCACAAAATAAAAGTTCAACGATTTCCTCCTGCGAATGAGGGAGCATGGCTCCGAGCAACAGAGAGAACAGAGGGAAAATAAAAAAAAAACTGGGAGAGAAACGATATTTTGAATCAACTTGCGGAGCACTAGCAGGTGTTTGTTTCTTTTAGGAAACATACAGAAAGAGGAGGAGGAAGACATGCATTTACACATCCTCGAAGATAGTCCACCCGTGGGCCGCCTCTTTATACCAAGCGACAACAGCAGAGTCCGTTCAGACAGCTGCCACGGAGGTATCCTTCCATGTTCTTTGTTCGTTTGTTTGTTTCGTTCGCCTTTTATTTTTGCAAGTTTTTTGCCAAGAAATCAGGTGGTGTATGGCTTCTAGTATGACTACATCCTACCATGTCCCTCTTGGTTTTGGTTTTTCATTATGTTTATGTATCCGCTAGGCAGATGTGAGCAAGAACAGTTTCACCAATGTATGTCGGTTTGAGTTGGCGATGGCATGGACGCTGCTCGTACACACGCCAACAGCTTGCGCCAGGTAAGGAGCACCACCGGCGTCGCGCCCAGAACAAACGTCCTAAACAAACAACGCGCGGCTGTTGTCTGGGCGCAGCTTAATTGGATACGCAATAAAGAGTAGCTACGCGGATATGTGGGTCACTACTTCTTGCGCCACGAGGGGAACCGGCTTCCTCTCAAAAGACGGCGAGAGAGCTGCCCCGTCTACTCCTCTGATGCGACGCCTATAGTCAAGCGGCTCCATTCCGTTCCTCCTTTTCACACGCTCTCTCACTCTGTCTGCCGGCGAGACTGCAACCGGGAACGCAAATAACAAGCAAGGACCCTCAAAGGACGTGCAAATACAAGACTCAAATACAAGCTAGCAGAGAGAAACAGAAGAAAGTACGAACACGGCCGAGTAAGAAGAAGATGATGAAGAGGGCTTATGGACGACTGCTTGGGAGGATGTAGCGGTGCTGATAGCGGCAGCTTTCGCTGCAGCGTCTGGACATGAAATATCGCTGGAGGCCGTCACTACGGTGTACGGAACGCAAAAAGGGCAGCGGAGGCGCTCGTGCCGGTCTGCGCTATAGGGCCAATGCCACGATCGGAAAGGGCACGCATCCATTTGGGACGGAGCAGAGGCGGCTGCCATGCGGCGTGTGTCTCTGCCGCGCGCAGACGGGACCTTGCGTGCGGGACGACAACGCCTATGGGAAGGCCCGCCTATAGCTGCTTCGGTTGTTTATAGAACCGTGCGGTACGCCCGTTTTGAGAGACCATGTAATACATTCTAGGATGACAAGTGGCAGACAATGGTTGGCTCGCTCACGCCAGCTCCGCGATGACATCGAGGAAAACAGTGCGATGCAGCCGGGCATGATAATTAAGGATTACGTTTCCTCGTACGAGTGATTAAGGTATTCCTGTGCGTGACCCGCTGCAGACAAACAGCTCTTTTTCTTTGTCGGTCAAGGGGTGTATTCGAAATAGAGTGCTACCCGTTGTGGTATCCTTTTCGAACCGTTTTTGTAGTGACAGATCTATCTTCTTGCGGGGGTCTGCATCGGCCGATTAGTAAACCTATATCTGCAGCAGGAAAATGAATGTGGTATTGAGTTCCAGCAATGTCTTCAGCAAACGTTGTATTGAGAGTTCACTCACGATGAACGCTCCTATATCCAATACCTGCTAATTTCAAGATGTAATCCCAGAACTTAACCCTTTGCCGATTACTTATGGCAGTAAATGCTTGCGCTCATTCGCCGCCATAGGAATTTGCAACAATGTTGTCTAGTCACTGTCTGCTGTGCTTAGGAGGTCGGTACTTCAAATCTTGGTGTGATAGAGGTACTTGTGAGCTACCGCTTTTCATACTACAGTGGCTACATTCACACAAAAGGGTCTTCTCTATCCCAGGTTCATCTTACGGAGGGAGCATCGCTTTAATCATGAGTACCTCTGTTAGGCCGCTTGTTTGCTGTCCTGTTGACTCAGTGACTTTGAAGACGCGCAGGAAAGGCGTAGGTGAGCTGTGTGTTAGGCACCTACAAACCTTTTCAATTTTTTTCTACTGGTTATAATGCTATTCGACGTGGATCATCGAAGAAGGATAAAGCGGAAGCTGCGCGTAAGAAGTGTTGGCAACGTGCCACCGCCGAATTCAACAGAAAAGACGGCTCGTTTGCCTACGAACCAAATCTGTTCATTTGCCCATGATACCTGACGAACCTCTAGCAATCCTCCCAAGTTCATGACCATAAACCGCCCGATAGCGGTTCTAAAATTTTCTCGGGATTGTCTTATCACATGCAGGAGCATTTTTTAAAGTTAGTTTTGCCGCACAACATTATTGTTCAGTGGAAAAGCATAGTAATAAATAAAAGGAGCTACGAGTACAACCTGACACAGGATGTAGACTTAGGAGGGTGATTCATAAATTGAAATCGCGCACCACCCTCGGCGATCGTGTGTCGTGTGTTTTCTTCGTCCATTGATCTTAGTCGTGTTGTGCCTTTCTATAACTATGAAGAAGCTTTCCCAAATCAGTCCAGTGGGACGCAGCACATCTTTTTCCCTGATTCCACGCGCGTACACGTGTCTTATAATTACGAATATTAGAATGATCGCTGACGTCTACAAGTTTAATCATTCAGAGCGCTCTATTACGCTTCCGCAGCCCTGAGACACAATGCACAAAAATGTTCGGCAGTTTTTCTTCCGCCAGCCTCACCACCTAACCGCCCAATAGGGAATTGAGTTAGGAGATAAATTCAAAGTAAATATAAGAAGAAATATATAAATGAGCACTGGTAAATGAATACAAGAAGTGTACGTTGCAGTTGATCTGGTAACGTTTTATGAACTTGGATTTGTCCGTTTCAAAAGCAGCGTCTTCGCCAAAAGTAACACTTTCTTTCTCCATATGTTGCTGCAAATTCTATTCTTTCTGCAGTGTGTGCGTATCCACAACTTCCCTGCATTGCGCGCCGCAGACATTGTTGGAGAGAAATTCTCACCTGTCCTACGAAGTAGAATCATCACACATTTTCCGCAAATGATGATTGCAACGATGCATTTGTTTCAGCATTAAATATTCTGATTGCAAGTTAAACAGCTTGCATAATCACCATTTATCTTACTCTTATTTTGCTGTAAACCGATGTGCAGTAAGACGCGGTTATCTGTAGAGTGAAAAATGCGCTCATGACAGCGATAGCCCCAAAAACGTCTCTACTTTAGTTTGAGAAAGTATTTCTAACACGCCTCCGCTCAGTTTTGCGGCTCACACCTGGCAGGAGGTTAACCACTTGTTAACGCAATGACCATGCTTCTTCCACAGGTGCAATGGGATATTTAACACGTTCGCATTTCGTTCGGACAGAAGAAACTGAAACGTGTA